TATACAGTACTTTGATCTAAACCAGGGGTCTCCAAACTTTTCAAACAAAGGGCCAGTTTATGGTCCATCAGAATTTAAGAGGACCGGAGTGTGGCCAGTGGGGGTAGAAAATGTTCCGGTCTCAGCATCATTGAGAATAAGTATGGCCTCAAGGATAGTGGTCAGTAGGAGGAAGAGTAGTGCCCCATCATTGGCATTATTGGGAGGAATAGTACCACATAAGAGTTATCAGTGGAATAAATAATGCCCCATTGTTGGTGTCAGTGGGAGAAATACTGCTTCATATCATTGGGAGGAATAATGCCCCAAGGGCCGGATAAAGGCTAGCAAAGGGCCACAGTGTGGAGACCCCTAATCTAAACCATTCCATTGTAGCTCTGGGATGGTGTGTTCAGGGTGATGTTAACTTTCCGCCACACATAGCGTTTTGCTTTTAGGCCAAAAAGTTCAATTTTGGTCTCATCTGACCAGAGCACCTTCTTCCACGTTTGCTGTAACCCCACAAGGCTTCTCACACAAACTGCAAATGGGACTTCTTATGGCTTTCTTTCAATAATGGCTTATCTTCTTGCCACTCTTCCATAAAGGCTAGATTTGTGGAGTGCATGACCATTATTATTATACAGGATTTAAATAGCACCAACAGTTTGCTCAGTGCTTTACAATATAACGGGAGACAATACAGCAACAATACAGTTCAATACAATATGGTTAGGAGGGCCCTGTCCTGCTGGAGCTTACAATCTAAGAGTTGTCCTCTGGACAGACAGCTATGTCTTGGTAGGTTTGCAGTTGTGCCATACTCTTTTCATTTTCGGATGATGGATTGAACAGTGCTCCATGAGATGTTTAATGATTGGGATATTTTTTTATAACCTAACCCTGCTTTAAACATCTCCACAATTTTATCCCTGACCTGTCTGGTGTGTTCCTTGACCTTTATGATGCTGTTTGTTCCCTAATGTTCTCTAACAAACCTCTGAGGGCTTCACAGAACAGCTGCATTTATACTGAGATTAAATTACACGCAGGTGGACTATTTACTACTTAGGTGACTTCTGAAGGCAATTGGTTCCACCAGATTTTAGTTAGGGGTATCAGGGTAAAGGGGGCTGAATTCAAATGCATGCCACACCTTTCAGATATTTATTTGAAAAAAATTTTGAAAAACATTTTCCTTCCACTTCACAATTCTGTGTCACCATGTGTTGGTCTATCACATAAAATCCCATTGAAATACATTTACGTTTTTGGTTTGTAGCATAACAAAATGTGGAAAATTTCAAGGGGTTTGAAGACTTTTTCAAGGCACTGTATGTCCAACTGTAATGCTGCTACCCCCCAGGAGCCAATTGTATCTTGCTCAGGCTTTCCCCTAGATCTTCTCCCACAGCCAAGCACACAGCATTTCCTTTAGCTAGGTGCACACAACTTCCGCTCGTTACTCGGATGTTCAGTGTAGGGGTTGTGTAGTTTTTGTTGTTTTTATTTTGTTTTAGAACTGGGATAGGGAAGGGATATAGTGGGATACTCAGAATCAAACTATGCACAATTGAGGACAGCAAAGTCCCTCTGTATATATGCAGGAATTAGTGGACAGGTGCTCTACTGGACACCAGCCGATGTCCCCTCTAGCTTACACCCAGCAGCTGACTATATATAGGTCCCGAGGGGGGGTTAAGCAGCACAAGTCCCAGCATCCATGTACAACAGTCTGTACTCACAAGGCCCTTGCTGCAGTTCACCTGCCTCCGTGATACCAGACAGGATCTGTAGACATCTGCTCACAGAATATAAATAATAGTAACTAGCATTCTCCGGGACAACACTCCTTGTAATTGTCTAGAACTGCATCAACATTCATGCTGCTGATCTGTATGGGTCACTCCTGTTCACCCAGAACTTTCCAAGGTCTCCTGGATACAGAGGAGCCAATCACAGCAGCAGCACTGTGAGCCACACAGGATCTCTCACTTAACCTCCTTAGTGGTTTTTCTCGAGTGTACCTCAGGGTAAAATTTGAGTACCAAGAGCGGTAACCCCGAGCTACATTTGGGCTTACCATACGGTGTTGCTCAGGGGGTCCCTGCAGCACTTACCTTGTCCTTCACTCCCGCGATGTGTCCCCTGCAGCGTCCCCAGCCATCTCCTCCAGCCGATGCCGGCATCCGGCTTTCGTGTTCTGGTCCCTGTGACGTCGGGACGTATGGGCGCCGGAACCGGCGGGAAATTTTTTGAAATTTTTAAAAAATGTCATTTTTGCTGTCATTGCTGTTTCCATGCATTTCACATATATTTTGTCCCTACTGCTTTGCCCTGTGCCCTGCCTGCATTTTGACTGTTCTTTCTGCCTGGAAACTTAGAAAAGTCCATGGCGTCCAAAAAGCGCCTCTTTACGTCAAAAGCGGTTTTAGAACAGCGATAGTAAATCAGAACCACTTGCAGAATTGAGTGATAATGATTCGTGGGGAAATTCGTCATCAGACACTGAAAACGATTTTGCAACTTTGCTCAGCGATGTGCGAAATTGCCTCTGTATTTCAAATTTCAGTGTTTTTGGTTTGATTATATTATTGAATTAAATTTATTATTATTATATATATTATTATTTTTTATGATTATTTATTAAATTATAATTTATGATTTAGTGTTTCAAGTTTTATCATATCTGGAATGTTTACTAGACTCTTGTTTGGACAGATTTCAAAGAGTTATTCCTAAAAATTACAGCCTACAATAAAAAACTACATATTTCCATGCAAAAAAATGGTACCACTTTCAGCACAAAAAATCGGAAAGAATCATACCGCCAAGGAGGTTAAAGGAAAAGTACAGCCAAAGCTTTTTTTGGCTGTACTTCTACTGTGGATCACAGGACTGCAGTTTGTTCTGCACTCCTGTGACCCGTTTTTCAGCTGACAGTGGACTGAGTCCGCTGTCGGCTGACGTCACTCAGCTGGTCCAGTCGGGATCCACCCCACAGTCTAGAGAATCACCTGGATCAGCCTCTCAGCCAAGCGCTGAGAGCCTGAGCCAGCTGCTCCCTCCCCCTCCACAGCCCAGCGCTGCAATGAGGGGAGGCTGAGCAGACAGCGGTGACTGACAGTCCCACTCTCTGCTCAGAGCGGCTGTGAGAACTCAGTGATCAGCAATCACAATTTGGTAGAGCCCTACCAAACATATTATTTACAATGCACCCCCCTTCCAAAAATATGAATTATTGATGGTGGCGGGCAGTTAGCAATCACAATTTTCTAATTAGTCCTAAGCTAGCTAACATATTTACATAGTTCAGTAACAATCAGCAATGACAATGAAGTGGCTTTTTCCAAAGGTGGGATCAATCCTTGCAGTCCTGCAAGAAAATATATGCAAGAAAATACACATCAACAAAGAGATTGCCCATTCTGCTTGTCAGGTAACCGTGGGAACATCCTCTCCTAAGAGTCGACCCTCCTACATGGAAAAAACAAACACATCCTAGATTTCTATATTACATTTATGCAGAAGTCCTCCATGGACTGCCCCCTTAGGACAAACTCTTGCCATGTCTTCTTCCAGAGCCCTGAAAGAAAGAAAAAGAGGCAGACAGTCCTATCTAACCTAGCTTGCTTAGTCTCATATCCTTTTTCATTTGAGGCACACACAAAAAAACTTTAAACCCCCTCTTTCCCTTTTTTTAGAATGGAGGCCAAATCTGGGCCTCAGTAGCATCAAAGCATATACTCAGGCACCATCTCCTCACTGGAGTGCAGTATTACTTCTTAGCTGGGCAAACAGTTCCATCATGGAACTGATTCTAGATGTGAAAGTGGAGCTCTCTTTATTCTCCTGTTTGCAAGAAGTCATAAGGAAGTGGCGTCACTTCCAGTTTCCCCCTGGAACGCACGCAGGCCCCGAAAGGGATCGCGGTACCTACTTGGGGTGTTTACAACTGTACCGGTTTAGGCACAGTATATGTGAGTGCAATATTTTTGCCTTTATGTATTTTAATGGCAAAATAAAAATACTACACTTTAGTCCTTCTTTGGTTTTTGGTGCTTTGGTTCATGTCCATGGAGATGAAGTTCTACATATATACAAGAGAGTGGAGAGAACTGAGATTACCATAGGTTGGAGGAGTAAATAAACCCACGTGATGTCTGACCTTTAGTAATATAAGGGTCACTGGAGTGTCGGTGATTGTTTTTCTTATGGTGGTGTGGAGATTGTTGGCACAGACACAAGATTTTACTTTGAAACACAAGGAGTATTCGAAGATTTGTTGCACTTTGGTACAGAGGACTTTATAAAGAAAATATATGTTTCACATGTTAGTTTTATGTTGTGGTAGCTCCTGTTAATTTCCTATATTTTGTTTCACATATAAATATATATACCGCTATAGCAGCGGTCACTTAATGGCGGTCCCAGATCGGCCACAGCAGCGCTCCCTTCTAGACTGCCAGCCCACCATGACAGATCCGCCGCTGAGCAAGCCGTTCGTCATGGCAAAATAACATCACGTGTGCGCCCCACCCCTTGCAGCTCACTGTCTCTCCGGCTCTCGCTCCCTGCCTGTCCACAATCATCCTTCAGCAAGAATCCTGGCACAGATCCTGTCTGCCCTCAGGGTAGGGTGTAGTCTTACAGGGGCACTCTGATGGGCACATTTAATGTTAAAGGGTCATGCTGTTAAGGTGCACTCTGATGGGCAAAACATAGAATGTGCCCATCAGAGTGCCCCATAACATAAAATGTACCCATCAGAGTGCCCCTTAATATAAATGTGCCCATCAGAGTGCCCCTTAATATAAAATGTGCCCATCAGCATTTTAGGTTAAGGGGCACTCTGACAGGCACATTCTATTTCCGGTGCACTCTGACGGGCACATTTTATATTAAGGGGAACTCTGATGGGCCCATTTTATGGTAAGGTGCACTCTGATGGGCATCTTTTATGTTAAGGGGCACTCTGATGGGCATCTTTTATGTTAAGGGGGCACTCTGATGGGCACATGTTATGTTAAGAGGGCACTAATGGGCACATACTGTGGAAAGGGCACTCTGATGGGCACATGTGATGGAAAGGGGCAGTCTGATTTGCGCATGTGATAGAAAGGGGCACTCTGATGGGGAATATGATGTAAAAGGGCACTCTGAGGGGAATACCTGATGTAAGGTGGCACTGTGATGGGGATACCTGATGTAAAGGGGCACTCGGATGCGGACAACTGAGGTAAAGGAGCACACTGATGGGCACACCTGATGTGATGGGAATACATGATGTAAAGCTGCACTGTGATGGCGACATCTAATGTAAGGGAGCACACTGATGGGCACACCCTATTTGGACCTCGGCCAGAAGAAAATTTTAGTGACCGGACCTCCTCGAATTTTAATTAAATACCCCTGCGCTATAGGAAGGCAGCATCACAGTTTAGATATTGTATTTTGTTAGCAGGCGCCTATGAGATATAACAACTGCTTAAAAGTTGTCTCTGTTCCACAGTGTAGGCACCCTAATACAGCAGGTACAGTATGTTACTGGGCAAATCATCAGGTGAAAACAGATGGTAAAAACACCTAAAAAAAAGAATATGAATCCAGCCACCGCATCTAATGTTTTTTAAGCTACAATATACTGCATTTCTGCTTTTGAGTTTTAATACCGCTTTAACAAAGAAAAACGTTTGTCCTGTGTTTTTGCACATTTAAGTCGTGTGTTTTTTTGTTTATTACTTTTACTATTCACTGCTTAGGGGTAAGCAAGAAGCTGTACTACCCTTTAAGCAGAACTACACTGCTTATGAGCACCACACACCAAAAATGCTACTTAATTCATTTTTAACCACTTGCCTGCCAGGCACTTATACCCTCTTCCTGCCCAGGCCAATTTTCAGCTTTCAACGCTGTCGCATTTTGAATGGCAATTGCGTGGTCATCTGACACTGCACCCATATGACATTTTTATGATTTTTTTCACACAAATAGAGCTTTCTTTTGGTGGTATTTAATCGCTGCTGGGTGTTTGATTTTTTGCACTATAAACAAAAAAAAGCAAACAATTTGAAAAAAAAAAGTTTTTCTTAGTTTTATTAGTTTATATTAAAACTTTTGCAACCAGGTAATTTTTCTCCTTCACTGATGTGCGTTGATGAGGGTGCACTGATAGGCAGCACTGATAGGAAGCACTGATGGGCAAAAATGAGGTGGCACGGATAGGCAGCACTGATAGGAGGCACTGATAGGCAGCAATGATAGGCTGCACTGATGAGCTGGCACTAATAGGCAGCACTGCTGGGCAGCAATGATGGGTGGCACTGATGGGCACAGGTGGGTGGCACTGATAGGCAGCACTGCTGGCTGACACTGCTGGGCGGCACTGCTGGGCACAAATGGGCAGCACTGCTGGGCACAGGTGGGTGGCACAGGTGGGCGGTACTTCTGGACACTGATTATCAGTGCCCAGATGATCAGTGCCGATCACTTCTCTGACAATTGCCAGTTATCGGCAGTACTTTCCTCATGCTGTGACAGTGATGCAAAGTTCAGGGGTCAGTAGTAAGAAATGCAGAGTTCAGGGGTCAATGGTAAGTGACAAACTGTTCAAAGGTCAGGAGTATATAATGCGGATTTCAGGAGTCAGTGACTCAGAGTGTAGGGGTCAGGAGTAAGTGATGCAAAGTTCAGAGGTCACATGGTTAAGGGGTCAGTAGTATGTGATACAGAGTTCAGAGGTCAATAGTGACCCAATGTTCAGGGTCAGAAGTGATGCAGGGTTCAGAGGTCAATAGTGACACATGGTTCAGAGGTCAGTAGTAAGTGTTGCAGAGGTCAGTAGTAAGTCATCTCTTATTAACCCCTGAATAGGAGCCCCATGGTCTGATGTTGGGCCCTGGCCCCTCCAATGTGCCTCCACAGATATTGTATCGTACATTCCTTATTTAGCACCATCTCATTCTATACTATGTAAGTCAACTCAGACCAGGGGCGGACTGACAACTCATGGGGCCCCCGGGCAATAGGGGATCATGGGGCCCCTGTGTCCTTGCCTAAACTCAAAAAAGCCTATGAAAAAGGTACCAGGGGCATCTCATGGGGCCCCCTACTGACCCCGGGCCCTTGGGCAGTGCCCGAGTTTCCAAATGGTCAGTCCGCCCGACTCAGACTCTCTGTAAGCACGCCTCTTTAATTAAGCCACACCCAAATAGAGACATGCCAATGTTTGCACACTGCATTTTGTCATTCACAACCTAGAGAAAAAGAAGGCAACCACCCCAATCTCTGACTGGCCTTTGCAGCAAGGTTCACATGGAAGAGCAATGCACATCACAAAGAAACAAACATTTCCCGGCACACTTATCAGCTAGCCTACAAAGGAAACCACATTCAGCCCTGGTTCACACTGATGTGCGGAATTTGCAGCATTTTCAGCACGAATTCCGCACATCAGAATCGCACCCCATTCATGCGAACCGTTGCGGGTGTGTATGTTATGTTAACACCCTGAAAGCAGTCCACAAAACGCAGTGCGATATGCAGAATCAGATTGCAAAGATGTACCCATGTGATCCAATTCTGGTGTGGACCCAAAAAAGGGTCCTGCACATTTCTGGTGCGGGTGCAGTGCGAATAGAGCCGTACAAAATGTAGGACTCCAATCACACCGCACACAAATGCGGTTCCTGTGCGAATCACATGCAATATTCCGCACCACATATATGTGAACCCAGGATTCCAGGTGAACTGGGAAATGTGTCTGTGGAGGCCACCCTCTAGTCTCCCACACAGACCGCCTGCTTTCAGAAAACATCCCAGGTGTGAAGGGATTCCAGTGCACAGTAATAGGGTGAAAGGGTCACAGCAGACAGCCCATTGTGTATACAGGACGAGAACCTCCCATGTCTCATACATCTGGGAACACAAGGTGAGGTCGTGCTATGGGCGGAGTGAAGGGGTTAGAAGGCGCGAGAAGACGGCGCTAACTAGAACTCCCATTGGACAGTAAGGGTGAACGCGAGCTGACGCGGGAAGGAAGGGGTTACAGTGAGCCATAGGCGGGGACAGCGACACGGCCACAGCAGACAGCGGGAGAACATGATAAAGCGCTCGGGCACTAGGGAGCTCCCGTGACGCGATAGGGGGCGTGGCCGGGGCGGGGTCACATTCCCTAATCTTCTCCCGCACAGGCAATCGTGAACGTGCGAAGTGAAGGACTGAACGTGCGCAGTGTAGGCAGGGGGGCTGCGGGGAAGCGCATGGGAGCGTGCACGCACATAGGGGATGCTTGTATTCGTCTGAGAGCACACACACAGCACCGAGCTCCGGTGTACAGGCGGCGTGCACCTGATTGGCAGCCTGAGCGGCCGACTGCTGAACTAGAACCGAACCAGTCTGGGGAGAGGCAGGCACCCGTGGCTTTCCCGGCTCCGTCCCATCACCCCCGGTCTGCGAGTAGTGAGCGCCCAGTGTGGAGCCGAGGACAGCACTGTGATAGCCCCGCATACCCTGACACCGTGCAGCACAGAAGGTGAGGAGCCTGTGCAAGGGTGTCATCCCTTGTCGTGTTACCTGTACATTGCATTCTATACAACACATACCTACATACAGGGACGGTGTACTGCCTGCTGCTGCTCTCCCTCTAGGTCGGGGGTCCTACCCATCCCAATATGGGGTCCTCCCACCCATACCTCTCTTTATTTGGTTGGATCATTGAAGATCACAGACCAACATTGTCCAGGATGACCCTTGTTCTTAGGCATGTGCTGCCTTTTAGATATTGTTTTTGTTCTTCCCAAAAGAGATTTCACACCCTAATAATCTATTCCAGCTGTGATGAAATGAATGACAGGATAAAGCCCAGATGTGGGGCCATCCAGTATGATCAGAACAGATGACCTCCCTTGGTACCAATACACGTATGACACATCCACACTTAGAGTTTTCATAGAAAAATGACCACATATGTTAATGCAGCCTTTCACGAACTTTTCACCCCAGGGGAACCCCTAAATTCATTTGAAGGTCTTGAGGAACCCTTACTGAAACCAATTCATTTAGGGTCAGTAGGAGAAATGCCCCGTACAAGTCATGGTCAGAATGTGCCTCTTTTATATGGCTAGAAAAGTCATTGGTGTCATGCTGCTGGCTCTGCCGAGTGGTGTTTGATCCTAGAACTTTGTAGACACCATGAAATGGGTCAATCAGCCTTGGCTCAATGAAATCCTAGCAACCTCTGAGGAGGACCTAAAAGGTTCCACGCAACACTGAATGAGAGTGGCTGCATTAATTCATATTGTTTCAGAGACTTTGTAGGTATCTTTGGTTCATCTGTCAATGTTCTTAGTGATTTAGGTCATGGTTTAGCTAGTATTGGTTAGCCACATTCAACTGGACTTGTTCTGTAATGTCAAAATATTTTAGCACTCAAGGAACTTTTTCAATTGAAGATCATTACAGAACTGAAGAACTTTGTCCTGCTGCTGGCTCTGCCAAGTGGTGCTGGTCCTAGAACTATATAGGCATCATAAAATATGAAGTCTATTGGTCACAGTTCAAGGAACCCCTAGCAACCTCTGAGGAGACCCTAAGGTTCCATGGAACCCTGAATGACAGTGGCTGCATTAATTCACGTCTGAGTAGGACTTTGGAAGTATCTTTGGTGCATCTGTAAATGTTCTTCTTGATTCAAGTCATTGTATAGCTAGTAGTGGTTAGCCACATTCAACTGGACTTGTTCTGTAATGCTGAAGATGTTTTGCACTCCACGAACTTCAACTGAAGATCATTACAGAACTGAAGAGGCTACTTGGTTGAGTGCTGAAACAACTTCTAACATAACAGGACATGTTCAGGTGAATGTGACTAACTACTGGTGGTGATCACTAACCAGCATTTCAAAGTGAGAGGTCTGGAGACATGTTGGCACTCATTTAAGTAGCTGCAACTGAAGAACATTGCAGAACTGACAAAGCTACTTGGATAAGTGCCGAAATAGATATCTTTGACATTAGAGAACATGTATAGGTGAATGACTAACTACAGGTGATGAATGCTCATTTAAACCGCTCTTCACAGTGGCAGAGGTCTGGAGGATCAGTCTGAAGATGTGTTGGCGATAATTTTAAGTAGCTTCTTCAAATGAAGCACATTACTGAACTGAAGAAGCTACTGTGCTTAGTGTGGGAAACGAACATTTTTTGAAATTACAGAACATGTCCAGGTCAATGTGATAAAATATCCACAAACCAGCATTTCAGATTGACCCACAAGAATTTCCTCATTCAAAAGGCTTTCTAAAAGTGATTGTATATCACTGTGACAAAACCACCAATTCCATCAAATCCCAAGAACTTTTCCATGCACCACATATTCAAACATCCATTTTTTTACCATTATACATGCTTACTAATGTGACACTTGGCCAAGTCATAGGATTAAACCTGTCACCGTTTAAAAGAGCTAAAAGTCTTAGTTCTTGGTACTGGTCTATCTTTACCAGCAGCCTTTGTCAACAAGGGTTCTGTGGAACCTTGGCATTTGTCAGGAGGCATTCCTTGGGGAGAGAGCAGTGGCAGATTGATGTCTTGTCCACACTGACCACCAATTTAAAGGGTCACTAATATCATTGCTTGTGTTTCTTTACTGCTCAGTTTTCACTTCAGAGTTATTACTGAAGTTTTGTCATATAAAGTGTGGTGGGTGGTTAAGTAAAACCAATTTTCTTCTTGTTCTTCACAACCTATTGATTGAAATGTACTGTAATATATATTGCACTGTATACTATAAATATATACACTATATTCTATACTGAATCTCAATTAAGGTGGTGGTTCCCTTACACCTGAAAACTTTTTCAGGGGTTTCCTCATGGTAAACGGGTTGAGAAACGTTGGTCTACAGAATGGGTTGATTTGGGGATTTCAGTATTGGATGACTTTAGATTAGCTGTTTTAAATCTTCCTGTAGAACGTGTTTGAACACAATGTTGCTAGGTGGAGTTTGAAGGGCAAAGTGACTCTCGGTAATTTGGTAGATGGTTAACTGTTCTCAGGATGAAAGTACAAGATGTTGCAGCAAGCACTTTTTATCCACTGTATTTCATTTCTAAGGCTGAAGTAACTTCTTTCTTTTTTTTTTCTGGTTGATAAAATGTGGCTTTTGGTTTTTTGTTTTCTTTGCATTATTTGTAACATGAGTGTTTAGTCTGTGAGGAACCCTCCAATTACAAGCACATTGGCACTAAATACATGTGTTTTAAGCGTGTTCCTTGTTTGTTTACACCTTTTTTTTTTTTTTTTTTTTTTTTTTTTTTTTTTTTTTTTGCATATGTTTCAGGGGCAAGCTATTTTGTGTGTAATTCCATACATAAAATTGCAAATAAATTCTTGCCATTTATTCCTATGGAAGAAACCGTTGTTGAAAACACAGCAAAGATGCAACCAGCGGAAATTTAATGCTCATTACACTAAAATGCATAAATGAGAGGCTCACCATTTAAAAATAATAGTAGGGAACTTCCCATTGACTTTAGGTACAGTTTAGGATGTCACAACATGTCTGGATTGCAGAGTTTGAATAGGACCTACCATCATTTTGTGCGAATTTTTAAAGAAAAAGACAAAAAGGAATAATTTACATAAAATCCTAGTGTGTAATTTCCGGGTATTTTATATTAAAATAGTGCTGTAATTAGTCATGTGCTGTAAGAACTTGCAGCCAATTATGTTCAACCTTTTTTTATACCTAAAATCTAGTGGCTTATTTTGCTGTACTTTGTGCGCTATCATT